TTTATAAACTATTGTGCACTAAAGCAGTAAACTCGCAGACCCGACGGGGATAATATTGGGGAACAGAGTCCGAGAAGTGTGGGGCTTTACCTTGCAATCCATCTCTGCTGTGAGCTGTTCGAGAATACTGCCCCAGTCCTTCTCCTGCATACAGATCTTGTTCAGAATTCCCTGAATCATCTTGTTGATCTGGTCTGTTACAGCATCAAATTGTGTGCGGCTGATATTCTAACAGGAAAAGTGATTATATTAGTTGCCTAGTAGGGACCTACATACACACACCCCTCTCGCGATCTACACATTGTCCTCATCGATACCTAACTCTTCACTGTTTCTGTCAAGGCCATCCTGAATGACCTCCCAGTCTCTTGCTGTGACCCACGTGGGGAATTTCGCTGATACATGAGCTCCACTCCTCTCACAATAAATATTTAATCAAATCGCTCAAAATCCCCAATTTAGCTCCCTGATAGACTCCAATAAACAAAACATACTGACCAGATTTCTGTACTTAACAAGAAACTATTACTTATTACATAGAAATCAATTCTAACTACAGGAAATACAAGTATGGCTTTTCAATGTATAACTGTATTTAAACACTAGCCACTTCTTAAATCCCTACCTCAGACAGACAGACAGACACAGACATATGAACACATATGTTATGGGCGAAGAAAATGAAAATTAATGGAACACCAATCAATAGCACCGCTCCACAGGATTTAATGAGGTTTCCCTTTCTAACTCCTTCTGATTTCTGATTTAATATTCAAGTTTTTTTCAGTCCTTTGCTAAAGACACAACAGGGTAAGTAATTCATTAACTGGTCCATTTTTAAGTCACTGGTTAGAGGCACCAGTTTATAGCAAATGGTGGGACTACAATAGGTTGGAAATTTTTGATTGATGCTGATTCAATGGTCTGAAGGGCATCTATGACTCGATGAAAATAACGAGCTGCTGTTTTGTTCATGGTTCCTCCAGGAAAGAGAAATGTTGCCTCTTGCAGTCTGGAGACCCTCTGCCTCTAGCCAATCAGAGAGCTGCTTTCATGTTGGAAACTCCTGGCCTTCACAAACTGGTCTTAATTGGAAAAACCCATCAACAACCTGTCTCTGGGTGGAGCTCGCAGTGAACAAACCCCCATCAAACATCTTCCTCCACCGCTTGAACAAAGCAACAGTGTAAACACAACCCACAATGAATTCCAATAACTTGTTTTTAAAAATGAAGCAACTTCTTCCTCTGTCCTTGGTTTAAATAGGCTTGCTCCCATTTTGTTTAAAATCCAAAATAAAGGAAAATAAAAAGATGTGGTGTTGACAACAGGGTTGACCAAACACTCAGGGCTACGTACCTGAAGGTTGTTGTTAGGGTAGAAATCTCAAAAATTAGTTTCTGATATTTATAATAAGAACATTTTAAATAGTTGTTGTAAAGTGTAATATAGTCTGTGTTTTCCTTTTCTGTAATAAATGTCTGTGTTCTTTTGCTAAAGGACATCGGCAGCTTCTTGTGAATGTGTTCATTGGCTGACCTCCGCAGTAAACAGAAAGAAAAAGAAAATTCAGGGTCTATCAAGCAAAGTAGATCTGGGATCAGACTTGTCCTCTATTACCACCAGTGTGGTTCATAACACAGACAGCAAAGAGGATTAGGGGGATATCAGATGGAGATGTGGAAAATCGAGGGATTTACATAAAGTAGCCAGGGACAAGCTATTTATCGTGACAGAAGATCAGCAAGAGATTCAAGACAACTGGCAGCAGAACCAATGCGGAAGACGAAGAGAATGTTGTTGACACAGCAGGTTGCTGTGAGCTGGAACACTGCCTGATGGGAAGGCAGAAGCGGATTTGATAGACTCTTTCCAAAAAGAACTGCACAAATATTTGAAAGTTTCTAGGCAATACAGAAGTTAGACAGTGCTAAAATGAGACACAAGGATTATCAGTTTGTGCTGGATTTCCTGCCCATTCACACTCTGTCCCAACAAAATCACAATCCCTTCTCCAAACGGTCATGTATTGTTCCCTTTTTATGTTCACTCTCCTGTGTGCCACGCCTGATGGAGGCAAGACAGAAAGTTTGAACTTCATGTGTCATTTTAGGAATGTTTATATACTTGGAGCAGAAAAAAAAATCCAGGATACTTAGGGCCAAACCATAGGAAGTGGATCAATGGCAATGTTTTGATTTTATTGTTTTATTTTATTATTTTTTTGATGTTTTGAGTGTCCCTTGGCCCCGGGGTGAGTGTCCCTCGGCCCCGGTGTGGATTGGTTTGGAGGACATTATTCTGAAAATTTTATTTCTTCATTTTGCTGATATTTTATTCCATAAGAATTTGTACCTTATATTCTGTCCCTGGGTCCCGTTATACCTCAGATGGCACCATACGTGGCGCTGTGTAAAGTTTTCACTATCCCCATGGGGCAACAACACTAATTGTAAATCTGGTCAATACTTACCCGACACTGTGTCTCATAATTCCAACACTGACTGTCACTCCCAGAGTCTGTCAACATCAAATCATCTCCGGTTTCGCACACCAACCTTACAAACACACAGACCTGACAAACACACCAACCTTACAAACGCACCGACCTGACAAACACACCGACCTTACACACCAACCTTACAAACACACCAACCTTACAAACACACCGACCTTACAAACACACCAACCTTACAAACACACCGACCTTACAAACACACCGACCTTACACACCGACCTTACAAACACACCGACCTTATAAACACACCGACCTTACACACCAACCTTACAAACACACCGACCTTACAAACACACCGACCTTACAAACAAACCAACCTCACAAACACACCGACCTTACAAACACACCGACCTTACAAACACACTGACCTTACACAGCGACCTTACAAACACACCGACCTTACAAACACACCGACCTTACAAACACACCCAAATAGCAGATTCTCATCACTAACTTACCCCATCAGAACATTTTCTCTCCAAACGATTCAGTGACTCATTCAAAGCCTGAAATTGGAGGACAGAAACTACAGTGAAACCTCTGTTGATAATAACATGCTCACACTGTCTGTAATAACCAATACCCACCGTCTATAAGAACCAATACTCACCGTCTGTAATAACCAATACCCACCGTCTGTAATAACCAATACCC